TTGTTTCATCCTTTTCGTCGTGGCGTAATCGAACTTTGAAAATTGGTCCAGGGGGTGTGTTTTCTTGTGTCATATACGGTACTTCGGGCGTGGTGACCTCGGATGCCGTGGTCTGTGTAGTCAGCTAAGAACGTACCAGTGGTTTCGATCCCCCCCCCCTCCCCACATAAGAAGTGGGTTCAAAAGGCGGGAAGTGATATCGGTAGGGTAGATAGATTAGGGAAGGCATTTTTGAGCCACTTTTGGCAAAGTAGGAAGGAGCCATTGGCCATCGGTGATCGGTCCTGTGGGAAAAATGTTCCGTCTTTTGGAGGAGGGGTGGTCAATGGTTTTTCCGTTAAGGCATGCAAAACATATGAGTACGCCCCCCCCCCCCACAGTGATCGGTCCTGTGGCAACAATGCTCCGAAGATGTGTGGTCAATGGTCTAAACGCATGCGAAACATGAGAGTACGCCCCCCCCCACCTGCTGAGCTTTGACGCAGCGTGGGGCAGGAGAGGGTCCAAACGAAGGGTTGGTAACTTATATCGCACCTTAAATTTGCCTCTACGTTACTTGTTGTTCTTCCCCCTCCCCCTTTTGTTTCGACATACACACGAGAAAACGACCGTTGGTTTTAACAGACGAGCAGGTGCACACGCTGCACCGCCTTTTCTCCCGCTCTTGCACGCCATGCTGATCGTGGTCTCGGTTCTCGAGGGGGTACTTTTCTTCCTGCTCTCAGGAACATTAGCCCGTCTACCGAAGCATGTACACCCGATGACCCTCGCCACCTCTGCGTTGGGCACCGCATTCGCTTCACTGCTGTCTGCCACCCCCCATCCCCCCCTCCCCGAAGAAATGGCGCATATGTCGCGTACCCGATGATGCAAAATTGCTTGCTGACTGGTGTGGATTAACAAGTTCGTCTCTGCGTGAAGTCTCTGTGCGTGTAGCTGTGAAAAAGCATGGTCTGACACACGGAACGGCTGTGCAGGCTCCAGCACGAACAGGTTTGGCGTTCCCGCACCAGTCTTAGGCTGCGAACAGCACCGCACTCACGAGCCCCCCCCCCCCCCCCCCCAAAAACTGGTTGGCGGGGGCGGGCGTCCACCAAGAGAAAAACTATTAT